GGGGATTAATCAAATCAAATCAAATCAAATCAAATAATTTATTTTGGGAACATGGGTATCCATATTAAGGTGTTAATAAAGGTATAACAATAGGTAGCCATATTCAACCTCATGCCTTCAGAAAACATTTTTAGTTTTTACAATAATAGACATTAAAAGAAAAATATAGGATAAGAAAAATTTAGGATTGCTGCACAGAAAATAAAAGGGTCTACTATTAGATCATACTTTTGTGGTACAGCCTGTATAATACTTACAAAGGTTACATTCTATAAGTAAGATAACGAATAAATTCCGGCAGCTTGGATAATCATCGAAGGCCGGAACTACACGAGAGCTGAAGATATTAACTACTAGATAAGGGGGAGCAACTGATTGTACAGGAAACAGGCTTATGTGGCCTACCCTTTATGTTAGGGAGCGGCTATTTCATACAGCTCGCTGATTCCGACTGTGGGAATGTTTGTACGGAAATCGAGCTTAGGGGGTTAATTTATTTTGTATATATAGATATATATATATATGTATGTGTGTCTATATTACCATATGTGACAGGTATATTCGTGCGTTGTTTAAATAGTTGGCAGTTACAGGTATTACTATAAATGTTCTAAAAACACTATACAGTTTATAATATTGTATCTGTTTGCTTGTTTTACACCTTGGTCACAACAATAACATTATTTTGAGACAATTTCAAAGGTAAACAGAAAATATTCACAACAAAATTAAGTGTTTAAAAATTAATCAAGTTGTTATCGGTTTGTTATTCAATATCAGTTTATTTAACAAAGTTTTCAATTTTCTCTTATAATATTTTATAGATAGCTCACTTAATGAAATAATTAACTTTGATTAACTAGATCAGTTATATATAAAATCTTTATGTAGTTATAGTAGAACTTACTTATAGAACTCGCTATAACACTACTTACCTCTAAGCTTTACTTTGATAGTTACAAGCAAACCTAATAAAAGTGAATTGAATTTCAAATTAAGAACTATCAAAGATGTTTAATACATGTGATTTAAGACTGACCTACAGTTCGAAGTACAGTTCATCTGCCAAGCTTGAGTCTAAATAACGCTATGAGTATTAACATGATCCTTGTATGAATATAAATCCTTTTTTTTAAGTTGAACTGACCTCAAACAATATTAACAATGCCACTAAAAACCGAGCAGCAAACGCGATTTATTTGCTGTCATTTTAAAAAGAGTTAGATTGTGTCTTCGAAACTTTTTGCCTCGCACAACTAATATGTGAAACGCGCTATCGTCTGCGGTATTTCCGGACCGATATGACCTTCAAACCTTCAAGAAAAGAGCGTACTCCTTCCTAAAAGGCCGGCGACGCGTTTGTGGCTCCTGAGTTGCAGACGTTCATAGGCGGAATGGTCACTTTCCATCAGGTGACCCGTCTGTTCGTCTGCCCCCTCGAACATAAAAAAAACTAATCAGATCTATATGAAATTTAAAAGGACCATTTCGGAATAATCCCTTTGGAACAAAAAAGAATTTTGAAAATATATTTGACGGAGTTATGCCCGAACATACATAAAAAAAATAGATCAGAATTGATAACCTCCTCCTTCTTGAAGTCGGTTAAAAATATTACATTCTTTTAACATCCAAAAAATAAAATATAACAACAATACTGTACCTATTATTAAATTTAAAGACAAAACTTTGAACAGATTTTAATGAAATTTGGCAAAGTGCCAGGTAAGGGAGACAGGCAGCCACTTTTTATCATGAATTATGTGAATAGAAGGACGCAAGATTTTGGTAACAGAAGTCAAAAATCCTTCTTAAGTTGCTGATAGTGATAAAATTTTCGACGTTGAAATACTTTTATTTGTCGTTATTAAAACTGATTAAGAGGTTATATACACGAAGTTAAAACTTCTTATAATTCATAAATTATTTTATTATTGACAAATATTGGATTCATTTTTGAATAAAAATAATTATTCAAGGGTACCCCCCCCCCGTCCCGTCCCGTTCTTGTTTCAAATATAATGCAATGTTTTTTTGTAAATTTCTTACTTTATTTAGTTTTTTATTTTATTTTAATTTCTTAGTTCATTTATCTGTATGCATGTATCCTACTTTTTATTTTTACTTTTAAAATCATAATCTATAATTATAGTATAAATGTGAAAGTGAGTTTGTTTGTTTGTTGCGCTTGCCCCAAACAAAAAATATTTTAATAATGGAAAGCTACAATATCAGCAAGTAACATAGGCTACAGTTAACGCAATAACCGACATACACGCGGGCGGAGCGGCGATCAAAAGCTAGTACAAATGAAACTTCCGAAAAAAAAAAAACAAAAACTATAAAATTTTGCCCGGCCGAAACCATTAAGGCAGCCTTTTTCAAATTCCACTAGAACGAAGTCTCAGGTACTGGCTACTATTAAATGAAAAGATAAAAATATTCACACTGTCAAAATATAATATATTAAAAATAATGTGTGATGTACTCCTTCTCGTTCCTATTCTTTATCCCACTCATTCCTATAAATTTATGTGTTTGTTTTTTTATCGTGATGTATTTTCGTTTCATTGAAAACAACACTTGTACGAGTAATGGGTCACTAAGGTTATAAAATATGTTTAATCTTGTACAAATTAATTATATGCACTAAAATATATGTACATAATAATTATAAATATATATATTTATGTAGATAGTATTTACTTTCTAAATTAATATTTTTTTAAACGTATACACTTTTTAAACATACAAATGGTACATTAATAACGTGGGCATGCAATACCTACATTTTAAAATCATAAATAAGAGTAGTTGAATAAAGTATATATAACTGTCATTGTAAATAATTGAATACTCTTATAAATAAATAAATAAATCTTAATTAAAAATAATAAATTCGTACCATTTATTCTTAACTTGACAGTTGTTGATTGTACGATCTTGCTGCTCCCACAGATAGAAGCGAGATCCTGCTCGCTAAAAATGTTTTTAGCCATTACAGGTCATCGCTAACAGGACATGCATCAACATTTATCCCGGGCCCCAACTTCCTGCGGACCCACGCTCCCGACAGATAAAACTTAATGGTCCAACTTACCACGAATTATTCCCTTGGCGAGGCATATTTTTTTTGGTATCTCAACAGTGTAAATGTTTCAATAATTTAGGCTGTTCTCTTTTTAACGACCGGTATTTATGGTCTTATGGTAATTTTTAGTAGAGATTTTTTTAAGGGTTTGAGGGCTCGTAAAGAAAACATATTGCGAGTGTTTTCACTCAAGCATTTTTAGTATAGTCTTAAGTAAGACAATACAATTTTATGAATCACCAAAAGATTTTAGTAAAATATTTTGTTTAAAAAATCAACTCACAAGAATTTTTCGCTGTTAAAGGGAGAGAGTTATTACTCTAACTATACAGATGGCTGGTCCCCAGATTGCCATCTTTATTGTTATAGATATTGTTACACGGCTGTCGGTGCTAGCTCGGTATAGCCGTGGTACAGAGGTATAACCTGCTTATATCTTTAGAGGGTGATAAAGTATATAGCGTCATAATTCGTTAGTCTGAGCTGAGACAGCTTTTCTACGTTTACTACTCTAAAGTAGAACGTATCTGAAGATCCTTTTTTAAGATCAAAATTGCAAACAATGTAAAAAAGTAACGTAGTAATCGAAAAGTGGTTGTAGATTCGAAGCCTACCCTACACACTATCAAAGAAAATCCAGGATAAACACAAAAATGTTAATTTATCTCAAAGATTTAACAGGCATACTAGAGACCCACCTTAATAGTATCCCTAAAAAAATCATATCAAAACCATTTAACGTTTTTTTTTCTTAAAGAAAAGTATGTTAAAAGGTTCTGTGAAACAAACTATAACTACCATTTGTTATAAATATCAAATTTTAATGTAAATTTTCTGATGGGATATTTAATACCTAACAGCACTCTAACCAAGACTTACCATACTATTAAAAAACTACTGATCCTGCATCACGCAATGCAATGAGAGTAGCAAGAGGAAAATTGCTAACTTAAAAATGTAAATATTCCTGTAAAATTTATATTAAGTAAATTTATAAATGTGTGTAAGGGAAACTGCGCTAATAGCCTTCAAGAAAATGTACGAAGACAAAAGCTTAACAAATAAAGTGAGTCCCGATGTTTTACTTTATCAGAAGACAGATTTCCTGACTTCTTCTGAAAGAGTACAATTTGCTTATGTGGCTTTATCGAGGTTTATGTTCTAATGCAACTATATTGGAGGATGACGATTCAAATGATTAATTTAATACCATTGTTTTTAATTTTATAGTGGACCATGCATACAAACCTTGGTGCAATTTCTTAACGAACGAGTATATAATATTCGTCATCGCCTTTAACAGTCCACTGCTGGACATAGGCCTCTCCTTAGAAAGGAGGTTTTGGCCTACTATACCCCGCTGGCCAGACAGGTTGTTATAGGGTTTGTTTCAAGTTTTCCTTCTCTTTACAGTGCTGATGTCCTACGCAGTTTGCTCCCTTAGTCGTCTCTTACGACACCCACGGGATGAACAGGGGTGGTGACATTCCGTATTCTTAATCCGTCACCACACCGACTATCACACACGGACACATATAAATTACGTATTATTAATTATGTAAAACTGAGAACTGAAAGAAAAACTTATTTTATCACCTTACTACGTTTAATGCTAAATTAATTGAAAAATGCAGAACTGGTTAGCATTCCATTACAAATTCAACATTTTAATTTCATTGAAAGTCATTCAAAGCCAGTAATCCCCACTTACAGCAACCAAGTAAACATGACAGAACGTGTTAATAGTTGCACTTTCGCAGAACCTCTGGAGTTGGGAACGAGCTTGTTTGCACGCGACTCGCTAATTATTTTATAATTGCTGTTGTTGCTGGCTGTCATTTGACGAAGTTTGGATTGAGAACATAATGGTGAACAAATTATGTTTTCACAATGTATTGAATGTAATTATTTATATAGACCTGGATGGAAGCGTGGGATGCATGGTGAATGGTGCCGGCCTGGCTATGGCAACTCTTGACATCATTAACCTGAATGGAGGGAAACCCGCCAATTTCTTAGATCTTGGTGGTGGTGTTGGCCAAAAGCAAGTCACAGCTGCCATGAAAATATTAGAAGCAGACCCTAAAGTAAAATCAATTTTCGTCAATGTTTTTGCTGGTGAGTAGATGATAAAATTTAAAATTAATTTCGTAAATATTTGTAAAAATATTAACATACTTACTAATGTATGAACATTCCTCTTCACAGGTATAATCAATTACAATATAAAACAACACATTGTATTTGGCTAAGCGCATGCGATCGCCAGCGATAATTACAGGTCGCGGCACATATCGCAAGTCAACCCTCTGGGACACGAATTTTTAAGTAATGAATACGCAAGTTCTCTTGTTATCCTAAAATATCACTAGTGTAATCTAATGAGATTATATAAATATATAATCTCATATATAGCTCAATGAGGGTATACCCTCATTCTCACTCTAAAAGGAAAGATATGTAGGATTATGTATATACTTCATATATAAAGATTTCAGACTTGAGATACCTCTGTATTCCACAAAATTTTATGACCAATATTTTACTGTTGAAGCTGTACGCTTGTGGGATGCATTGCCGATTGATGTCACAAATGCTAAACAGTTTAAAGAAAATTGTTTAAGAACTTTATTTATATTAAATAAGACAGCTACGTATTAAGGTATGATGTGAGTGTTTTCTTTTTTATATGTGATATACTTAAGTAGTTACAAATTTGTATGTATAAGTGTTTGTTTTATATAAATATATAATGTATGTGTATATTTATATTATATTATATATATATATCTAATTATTATCTCTTTTATATTCGTTAGCAGTTAACTTTAAAAACTATATAATTGCACCGTCAAGTACTACTATCTCTCCGGAACATTTTGATCCATCCTAAGGTTGCCTGGAAGAGATTGCTCTTAGCAATAAGGCTGCCTTTGTATATTACGAGTATACAAATAAAGAGTTTTCTATCTATCTATGCCCAGAACTATCATTACTAGAACTCTCTGTCAATTAACTATAACTATCTTTATTTTATACTAGCTGAGACCCGCGGTGTTACCCGCATTTTTTGTTATAACCGCGGGCAACGCCGCGGGGCGAAGCTAGTCTAAAAAAAGTAGCCTAAGTTACTCCTTATGTCATCAGCTATCTGCCAGTGAAAGTCCCGTCGGAATCGGTCCAGCCGTTCCAGAGATTTCCCGGAACAAACAGACAGACAGACAGACAGATAGACAGACAGAGAGACAGACAGACAAAAATTGTAAAAAATGTTATTTTGGCATATATACCGTGTGAACATACATATGCATGTAGTAAAAAGCGGTTATTTTAATATTGCAAACAGACACTCCAATTTTATTTATTTGTATAGATATGCCATAATATTGTAAGTTATGTAAATATATAATATAACGATTTAGTGTGATAAACACTCTCGTGCGACCACACTATTAGTTCAATAATCAAAACCTGTCAGGCGACTGTCGAGGGATACGAAACTCAAGGGTGTCGACGCTTACTTGCGATAGTTTTTATTTGAATACCTCTAGAATTTTGTATGTTTGTCTAGATTTCTACAGAAAAGATTCTCGATTCTTACTTTCTTCTTAGAATGTTTACTGAAATATATTTTAAGTAGAAAAACAACATAGCTCAGCCGTTTGCATATCATACAAAGACATAAACTCAAAATAAATTCTGAAAACTTCACAATTTTAAAACTCAATTTTCATTTCAAATATTATAAAGTAAAATGTAGACTTTTAGTAGCTGAGACCAAGAGGACCATTAGGTAAGAAATATAACATACATTTTACACAGTTCCAAGGATATTTCTACAAGATACAAAATTGAAAATTCTTGTCAAATATCACACCCATTAAATTGTGACGATGACATGTCCAAGTCTATTATTTAGACGTCGTTAAGTGAAAAGTGATGTCTCAAAAAGTAATACTGTAATATCTTATTTATCGTATTGGTAATAGCAATTTTCAGCAGGTTCCTTTTTGTGACATGTTATTTTTTTAATACCTAATAATTAAGCGTAGATATGAGAATCGATCGTGTGACTAACTAGTGACTGGCTCGTTGGACTAATGGAGAGATTCCTAAACTATGTATTTTGGCCAAGAGACCCCTTTTCTAAAAATACCTGATACCTCAGACGCCCCTCGGATACCACCTGTCGGTGGCATGTCGGACTCGAACCGACTAAAGCCGCACGCCGTTTCGGGTACTAATAGCCGGGGAACCAGGTATACCCTAGAAAGGAAGTCCCTGGTGCCCCGACATACCTCGGGTCATCTACAGACGAGTAGACGACTCCCCCCCGTGTGGGAACCCTATGTTCCCTGTGCTCCCTGGAAGCGAGCGCGCTTCGCAACGCACTCGCCGCCACCCCGGCCTGCTTCTGCTAGGGTGACAGATACTTCAGACGCCCCTAGCCAAATTACTGCACGCTAAGCACCTTTTTGAGTTTCTAAAAAGTACAACAATTTTACTTTTTACTAAAATATTAGTCATTCTTATATCGAGTTAGTACACGTATAGTATCTTGAAAGTTTCAAAATAGAATTAGTGGTAAATAATAGGGGTCGATTTTTAGATCTCGTCGACCCCCAAATTCAGTTTTCGTGCATGTCGACCCCTGGGAAACCGATTTCGATTCCAAGGGGTCGATATCGACAACTTTGGGAATCCCTGGTCTAATGGATAGTGACCCTAACTGCTAATCCAGAAGTCGTAGGTTAGATTCCCCCGCAGGACAAATAATTGTGTGAAGAGCACAATCATTTGTTCTGTGTCTGGGTATAATTTATCTATAATATGTATGTTTTGAGGAATATATAAGTAAGTATATATCATAATACGTCTTCTTCATTCATAATACACCTTGTTTAAGATCAGACGGTCGTGTATACTATGATATGGGTCAAGATATTAGTATTTATGTTTATATAGATGTTACATTCCTTTTTTGAAAGTATTTATGCACGGATGGCGTAGTGGATTAAGCGGTCGCCATGCAGCTTCCTACTACGCTGAGTGTTCTGGGTTCGATCCCCATATGGGATGTGTGATCCACAAATTGTTGTTCTGATGTTCTTTGTGGACGTTTCATGTATGTTTGTAAAGTCCCCAGCGACACAGGATATATTCCTAATGCGGGAGTCGTGTTTAATAAAAAAAAGAATATATAAAAGTAAACTTAAATTAAAATTACTGAAAGAGAATATGGTATTTTTAAATTTGGAAAATATGTATCTTGTGTATATACATATCACGTTATAATGGTTTATATCCGCACCTCATACTTTGCAGCTGAATAGGTGCAAGTATAATACACACAAAAAATATAACGTAATTTTGTCAAAATCGACACTTCCTCAAATAAAACATACATAGTTAAATCTACACACGAGTTCCTCATAATGGTTCGTTTCACATCCAGCGTTATCACAGAATTCACTAACAAAGAAACGAAAACTATAAAGTGCTTCTAAAATAAGTGTCCATTTTCTTCACCCTCATTAAATTTTCACACGTGGTGAAAGAATAGTTTTGAGAGAAACAGGATAAAAGGGGTACAGGGAGTTACGAGTACGAGTTTGAAAGGAACAGGTATTGTGGAATAGTCTCTGCAATGTCTGAGTGGTGCAACATTTAACATCTAATATCGCTTGTAGAACTAATGCTAGTTGGGATCTTTATTGCAGTATAATTTGCACATAAAGTACATTAAATTACTATAAGTTATTTTTTTTAAGTGACGTTAATAGTTTTCACTATTTTGAGTCAGCTAAAAAACTACTGCTGTTTTCGCTTGTGAAATGAATTGCAACTATTGGTGGTTTAAACAAGTTTTATATCCCACATTAGGTACTTTTAATAAAATAATAACTTTAAGGCCTATCGTGGATCATGAGTAACACAGTAAGTAAAACAGTATTATAAAATAACTTGGAATGTTAAAAATAAAATTATTCTAAATATTTCATATTTTGAAACGTTAGCAATCATCAGCAACAGCCCTTAACAGTCCACTGCTGGACATAGGCCTCTCCTTACAATGGAGGTTTTGGCCTACTATGCCACGCTGGCCAGACGGGTTGGTATAGGGTTTGTTTCGAGTTTTCCTTCCTTTTGCAGTGCTATTGTTTTGCACAGTTTGCTCCCTTAGTCGGCTTTTGTATTTTGTAACGTAAATAGACATTTTTTTTTTTAAACCAACAAGCTTTTTTCATTTTTAGAAATAAATAAATACAGCTTTGACACATTTCGTTTCACATATACTCGTAATATAATTAGGAATCGATTAGATTATTGTGATATGACTGACTGCACGGATGACGTAGTGGTTTAAGCGATCACCTCGCCGTCGCCGCGGCGCCGCTTCCTACGCTTAGTGTTGTGACTAACTTTGTGTGACCCACAAATTGTTGTTCTGAGTCTAAGTGTTATTTGTGTCCGTCTCATGAATTCATTTGGTTTCACTCATCACCATCATCATCAGGCTATCGCAGTACACTGCTGGATATAGGCCTCACCAAATTCACCTTCTTCCATACCTTCCTCCCACGTACCAGTGCAGAAATGCTCTCTTGCGATACATGAGGTCGAACTTGTGGTAGAGCCGCCTTTGCAATGGCGGTGGTGTTGCTGAGCATGGACGCAGCACGTTTTACTTGCGCGAGGTCTCCTCCGACTGAACTCCGAACTTTGAATCCTGTAGGACACCAATCCACGAACCGAATTCCTGCCCTCCTCTTCAGCGCGGCATTGGCTCCGTTAACATCCTTAGGCACCACGTCGCCACGGTACAGCAGACAGCACGCCATGTCTCGCGAGGGTCACACTTCACCATCTGGTTTTGTGATTTCATTCATTTTTTGTAAAATACTCCGCGACACAGGATTTCTTCCTAGATCGGGAGTTGTCTTTATTATTAAAACAAATTAAAGTTCAATACTCAACTAACAAATATACAAAAACTTGGTATTTTTACTTCAAAACTCCAAAGCTGTTATACTTAACAGACTTGAAATTTAACAACATCAAGAGTTCAGTTTGCTATCGTGAGTCGTGGTGACTTTTCTTTTTTATTACCGCTGCCTATAATTTGAAGCGGTTCTTGCCAATAAGAAATGAAAAGATTTTTAATATTAAGATAGTTTTGACAATAAGTATAGTCAAAAAGAGTTATTTTCCAAAATACAGTGACATAACAAGAAATTCATAAGAATGGAGTGTGTCACCGACCTAAATCTTTGTAACAAAACAAACAAGTGTAATTTTTTTTATAAAATAAAATTCCTTGATAAATTGTAACAGCGTTACATGACATTCTTCAAAAAGAAGCTTATATCAGAATCGTTTTTACGGCAACCATCGGGTCAGAGCCGTTTAATCGTTTGGAACACTTTACGACTCCTCGTTCCATTCTCGCTGGGTTCCTTCAAATATTTCACCCTCTTATGCCCAGAGAAAAGGTGCATGGCATGTACGTACTAACAAAATTAGATACCGCAAAAGGGGCTATAAAATCTACTAGGCCCATCTTTTATTATTGTATCCGTATTGACTTATTTTACGGTTCATAAAATTTTGGATTGTTATCGATTCCTTAAATTTGTATTGATAATATTTGCATGTTTAGATACCGTTTACGTTTGACCTTCTTCAACGTATCGGTTTTCAGAATCATGATATTCGGTTAACAACATTTTTATTATTCCCTACGTCTAACAATACGGTATTTTGTGTATTGAATAGCCCAATTTGTATGTTCGTAATGTGAAATGTACTGCTGATAATAACAGGTTTTGTTAACAATCTGAGTAGATGTCTCCGTTTTATAGGGAACTGTGTCACGCGAAAGTTGTTAAACCGAAAGAAGATAGGACAAAAGTACCCATAAAACCCTTCTAGTCTGGAACTTGAATAATATTAGCTACATCAAAAATTTTAATAATATCAAAGTAACTTTATAATTTCGGTCTGTCTATTAACTAATTTATTTTTGCGTGAAGAAACCTGTCTTCCTGGAAAATATTGAGGAAGGCCTTTCTCCAGCAATGAAGATATAATATATAGCTGACATGTTAATGATGAAAATGAAATATAATCTGTAAGTAAAACTATAAATTTAATTAAACTATAAATTCATGGCCGGCGATGGTCACTTTCCATCAGGTGACCCGTCTGATTGATTGATTGATTGATTCTGAGGTGACTGACTGATTGATTCATCAACGCAGAGCCTAAACGGGGCTACAACCTCGAAATGTTGACAGTTGATTCTTTTTATGTAGTGAGTACCCACTAAGAAAGGATATTGGCCAATTTTATCTATGAGGAAGTCCGTGTGTTGACGGATTAAGAATACAAATTGTCACCACCCCAATTCATCAAGGGAGCAAACTAAGCAGGACAACAGCACTGCAAAGAGAAGGAAAACTTGAAACCATCCCTATACCAACACGTCTGGCCAGCGCGGTATAGTAGGCCAAAACCTCCTTTCTAAGGAGAGGCCTATGTCCAGCAGTGGACTAGTATAGGCTGTTGATGTGATGATGTGATCTATGAGGTGGTAAAATAAGGCATGTGCGATTGTATGGATGTTCGTCATTTACAAAGTTAGAATAAAAAACGTACACAAACCAACTTGATATTTATATATATTGTTTTATGTCAGCCGCTTGTTATATTTAAACCCAAGAGTGGAGTAATTTTCTCTCATAGTGTAGAAATATTTACACATAAAGACGCACATGAAGTCTCCGGTTGCGTAGTCTCTAATATAATTTGAAACTCCATCTAGGCTTTGAGAGCTCTATATTTTCAGCTGGCAGGGAATTGCGTGACGCCAAAAGCTTTATAATCAACCTGAATCAGTGCACGTAGAAGTTTGGTACAAGGTAACTTAGAGTTGTAACATTTTGATATTGTTTTATTTTAAATTGTTTGCTCTCCAACGTTAATTATTATGATGAAATATTAAGAATTTGAAAATATGGTAGTAGCTATAAATACCTGCATCTTTCAGAGTCTGCATAAGAGTTTGAGTTGAGGTTTAAATATAGATGTAATTGCAGGAACTGGGTTTGTTTCCATAATTTCATTTATTAGTATTTAGTTTCGTACACATTCTATGTAGTTATAAGGCATAAGGTTGCCCATTACATGGGAAGAGAAATTTTGTTCAGCAACCATCTACCTAATGACAGTAAACGTAGTGTAGGACGCCCACAGGAGAGGTGGAGTGACGATTTGCGAAAGATGGCTGGCAGAAGCTGGATGCGGGAAGCCCGAAATCGATCTAAGTGACGTGCAATGGGAGAGGCCTATGTCCAGCAATCAGCATTTGTACTAGTTGTTTTACGCACTAGTTATTAAAAAAAATATGAAAGATATTTATGTATTATTGCTTATTCATGTATCAAAGGTTTCACACATACTAGGTGTAGATACTTCGTCCATTAAGAAACCGATTCTCAAAGATTTTACCCATTTATTTAGAGTGACAAACTTAGCTTTTCTGTCATTGAAATACTCTCAGAAATATCGCTATACGTCATAGTGAATTTTCGAAGTGCAAAATACATACAATGAAATGTCCTCTTTTACCTCTTAACCTTCTCTTCTTAAATCTTTAGTTGACTCTTAACACAAGCATTACAAACACATGTTTTTCAACTAAACGAAAGAACCGCTTGATCTTTCCTTTAGTCCACGGACAAACACACGGATGCGTTTTATGCAAAGCGACCGGCTAATTGTGCCAGCTCTCTAGAACTATGGCAATGGGAGTGAACACGCCTTCTCGACCCGTCGCTAACCGACTTTATAGGCTCATAAAATATGGGGAACACAAACGTTTTTTATTTGCTTTTTCTAAACTCTTGGTGAAGTGTTGTTTTTTTTTGTGTATTTATAGATTTGATATGTTTTATGTAAATTGATTAAGCCTTTTACATTCGATATAAATTAGGGTATGCGGTAATCTTGCATAAAAATATTTGTTTATTTATGATAATATATGATGTAAACTAAAAAAGGACAGTTAATTGTTAAAAGTATTCTAGTTTTTTAAAGATGGACCATAAAACATAAAATTGAATTCACATTTTAAGTAAATTCGCAAATTGTATGGCTCGTAAACAATTTAACGTTAAATTGTTTTGGTACTTGTTGACATTGAAAACTATTTTAAATTAAAATTTCTGCAAGATTAACAAAAGGGAAACGGGCAAGCAAATTCAATTTAACGCCTGAGCTAACCTTCCGTATAAAGCTCCATTAAGGCTCCAGTAACTGAAGAAAAACGCCGATAACAGATGTTAATGAATCGTATAAATCTATAAGAGAAACGTTATCCGACAGAGAGGTTCGTAATAGAATGATATCGCTTGTTAACCAATTAAGTGGTATTTGTGTTCTGTTATGTTATTTTGAACGGCATCATTCACATTTATAAGGATTTTGGTTAAGACGTTTGGAAGTTTTAGGGAGTTCTTATGTTTTTGATGGCTTGTTTACAAGCTGATCAAAAGATTAATACTTATACACTTATTTGGAAGATGAACATTGTTTGTACCAATTTGATATTTGATACAGATATAAAACGCTATAAAATAAAATATTAAATATTCATTAGTAGCTATCTCCTGTCCATCTCCTCTTTAACCTCGCTCCGCTCATCATAGACTATCCGTCTACGATGAGCGGAGCGAGGTTAAAGAGGAATATAAGTAAACACGATCTTACCCCTGTACCGATATATGCTTACAAACATCACTTAACTTAGATTTTTATGGACCTATTCCACATTTTATCCATATCGTTTACCTAACCTTTCGAATTGGAGGTTATCACTCTAGGACTTGTTCTCCAGAAGGGCCTTCAGTTTAGAGCCAAATGAGGGCTTATTCATTTTGAAACGGTAATACTAAATCAAAAAAACTTTGGTTTTCAAAATATAAAAAAAAAAATTTTTTGATTCTTTATTGCAAACCTAAAAATTTAGTGCAATGATTTAGGATTTATCGTAAAATAAAAAATAATAATTGTAGATTTAAAATTAATAAATCCAATTCCTGATCATTCGTTATAAAATCAACTTGAAATTTAATCGCAACTCACTATATAATGTTACACCAAAATCATGCTCTGAAATTGATTTTAACAAATAATTAATTTAAGAGCTTACCTCTGGGTCGTTACATCGAAGCGGGCTTTTACTGTATTTCCATATTTTCCGTGAATATTAATTACGATCGGTTAACGTCTGGCATCGAGGAGCATTAGCTTAATTCGATGTCAGATACTCGTGCGATTTCGATTTTATTAATTTTTCCTCTAACATGGTATTGTGGACGTAACGCTTAACTGGAAGTGACTGGTATAATGAACTATTTAGCAATTTAAAACATACATTTTCTTGGTTTAGAAGAGTCTTTTTGTTGTAGTATTTTTTTTTACTTTAACAATATATTAAATATGCCAGCTGTACCAAATATTAAGATTCAACCAAGACACAAATGCATAAAAAGAAATTCTACTAGTACGAGACAAGCATTATTTTGAAAATATCAAAGACTTTGATTATACGATTAAAAATGTACATAATTTCTATAGCTTTTTATAATATTCATTAAATAGGTGGAGTAGCTTTTTGTTATTCCACGCAAAATACTTTTAAGTCCTTGCACGTGACTTGGCTTTTATTACTCTCTTTATCGCTACTTCGTAAGCAGTTGACAATCGTGCATTATGTCTCATTTTACTGCTATATCCACTAGCAATATCCAGAGTGTAGATCTTAGCGTCAAATTCACTG